AGCAGTAATCGCCAAGTTCACGTATTAAAGACGTATTTTAGCGCTTTCTGTTGCTCGTGAGGCTTGCTGATATTTTTATTGATTCCAAGGAAGTATTTTTACAATGTTGTATTACATTATGAAAGTCATAATATACATTACGAAACTCGTAATATATAATACATTATGAAACTCGTAATAAAATATTAAAAATAATTATTTTTAATAAAAAAAATAAAACGTAAAAAATAAAAAAAATAGAAAAAAATTAAAAATTTTGAAGGATAAATTAAGAATTTTAATAATAAAATTTAATAAAATATTAAAATATATAATTACCCAGTAACCAATTAGATTTTCAATTGGATGCAATTGGATTGAAAAACTGCATTTCCTATTCAAAGTTTTGAATTGAACAGTATTCACAATTGTGTTTGTGTACACAGAAAAAGCTAATATTATTTTTATATTGAAAGACATAGGAATATGCTCCATGCAATTCCTATAAATGAATAAAAATGCAGGATTGAAAAGCATTCATTTTAACATTCGTGAATTAATATTTTCGAAAATCTGAGAATCCATTTCAATTCATTTCAATCCCCATTCTTGTTTGCTGGGTAATATAAAAAATGAAATATAATTAAAAATTTTAAAATTTAAAAAAAATTATTAAAGTTAAAAATACCTATTGATTAAATTCACTATTGATTAAATCGAATATGTACAGCAATCGAGTCGATGCGTGATTTCGAATAAATACTATTGTGAGGTTAAGAGACATTGTTTGACATCTCGTGTGATTTTGGAGTATGTATTGGCAACTTGCCTGAGGTAAATCGAGTTATAAATCGAGATCGCAGTTTTATGTACAATATCACAAATTATTGTTTCATACAAATTTCATAGGTTTTTTTTTAAGTGAGCAAGCACTGGTTCACCGAAGTACATAGTCGTTCGAGTAATCATATTTCGTAATTATATTATTGATTGACTCGACCTAAGTGGGCAGAAAAAAATTCTAAATTGAATAATAATGTATCCAAAATCTAAATAAAAAAATTAGATACATAATTGTTATTATTATCTAGACATTCTACGGATCAGTAATCGTTATAGGTATAGTCGAGTTAATAAATAGATACGCAAGCAAATAAAGAATGTCGATCACTGGATCATTTCTGTATCGATAATTACTGGTACCTACTAGGTGGGGTGAAAAGTAACCTCCTTGGGAATGAAAAAAATTTTTTTCTTATGCAGAATCTCGCCCAAAATATGGCGTGTTCGCTCAGTACTAATCTTTGTAGCATCTGCTAGCTCGCGCACCTTCACTTTCCGGTCAGCCAACACCATTTCATGTATTTTTTTGACATTTTCCTCGGTAACCGCATCGGAGGGCCTGCCGCTGCGGACTTCATCGGTAGTGGAGTTGCGGCCACCACGAAACTCTCGAAACCAATATTTGACGGTGTAATCTGACGGAGTATTAGCCACATAATATTTATCCAACTTTTCTTTTGTTTCCTTCGCCGTTTTGCCTCTCAAAAAATAATGTTTTATGAGAGAACGAAAATCGTTTTCGCAAACACGTCAACAACAATCAGCTCTCAAAACAAAACTAAGGGCAGTATCGCACTGCCACTTGGCATGTCTGCCTAAATATGAACGGACTACAAGGCACCATAAACTTTTTTGCAGTAGTGGCGCATTCTGGCGGTCAAGGAGGTTACTTTTCACCCCATCTAGTATATCTAGAACAGAAATCGGCACTACTCGAATAAAAACTAATTTTATAATTCTTTTTTATTGAAACAGCTATTAATATTTATTGAAAATTTGTAATAATGATAGTTCTGAAAAAAATAAAATATAAAAAATTATAAAAATATATATATTATATTATATATACATATATTATATATTTTATAAAAAATTACAAAATGTAAAATTATTTTATATACATATGTCGTTTTTTCCTCATTTTTTCGTCGATTATATTCTTCCATTAAAGATATCTTTATAACAATTTAGTCGTCTTTTAATTATCTTTTAGACGACTTTGTGCTCTCTGCTGTAACTATCGCGTACACGAGCGATAGAATGATTCAAACACATTAATTTATATATATATATATATAAATTAATGTTATAGACATCTTTTAGTCTTGCTAAAAAGACAATCTAAAAACAATGTCAATTTAAAAACGTCGTCTTTTAGATACTTTTTTACTTTGTCAAAAAGACAACTCGAAAAAGATCTCTTTTTATTATCTTATCTCTTTAGTATTTTGTGCTGTAAACACGTACGGCGATTTGTGGGACATACCCATGATGATTATTGGGCAAACCGTTATGGCGGCATGGCGATAACTCGTACATTTGCGACTTCTAATTTTTACGAAGGATTTTCTCAACAACGGCAGTAGGTATAAGAATTTTAGAGTGAAGTTTTTATTCGTCATAAAAAATTGATTTAAAATGACCTAAAATAACAGTCACTCACTTTTCAATCTGAAAAATATAAAGTCAAGCGTTTTGGTTGACGATTACTAGGCCAACTACCTTATTTTTTAATTGTATAAATTCATCTGATATTTCCAAGCCTCAATTTTAAAAATTTGGAAAGATATTTTAATAGATGTGCATTTTTACAATTGAAATATTATACATAGATTATTAAGCAACTATTTATTGATAACACTGAATTCATAATAATTAAAAAATTTTAATAATACATATATGAAAAAAAACGAAATAGTCAGATGTTAATTACAAATATGTTTTATATATGTAATTATAAAAACATATAGTTTTGACATTGCTTAATAAGAATATATTTCATTAGTTTGTCCATACTTATCTACGACATGTTATTACGAACAGAGAAAGTGATTTAGGTACTTGAAAGCTTATACTCAGAAACACACGCTTGACATGCGATTAAATTAAATATTCGACTTGAGGAGTAAGAATAATTATGATATTGTTATGTTTTTGCAATATCATATTTCGATTAATTAAAATTTTTATTTCAATTTTACCTAATAATTATACGGACTATCAGTAATGCTACCAGAGAACTACCACGTATTTCGTTCGGTTTGCGCAGACGGACCGTCCATTTTACCCTCTCTACTGGTATTTGTAGGCTCGACATTGGCAGCCGGCAAGGGAGCTCGGGCGCTTTAATTTTATTTTGAATGTTTCACAATTAGCCGTTACGTACAATGTTTGCAACACATGCATTTTATTCTTGTTTAAGATTTAACGACAACGGATTGAATTATGCTTGCGAGCGTTACGAACGTTAAATAAAACGTATCCAATAACGCATACAGTACTGAATGGTGGTACTGGATTCTCCTCCACAGCCTACGTGATCACGAACTGCGTAAACCACGTGAAGTGATATAATACTTTTCTTCTCTTGATGAAAAGAGTATATTAATTTCTCGTTTACAAGAGGATAAACGATAATCTCATTTTTCATATGATTCAAAAGTATCTAAAAATATTCTGCTTGTTCTTTTTTATTACGAACAAATTTATCTTTATTTATTCCAAATAGTGATATAAATATGATTGGTTTAATTAATCATTAAAATATTAAATCTGGATTAGCAAAAATAATTTTGTTTCGATTTTCATAATAACGCAACTCACTATAAGGCAACAGTATAGGTCCTTTGTTTTTTATATTTCGTATTATCCTTTGTTTTCTGTTTTTAGAATATTTGATTAAAGTCAGTCTTCGAAAGTATATTATTACATTTAAAATTTTAGTTATTCATATTGAACTATGCAAATTTCGGTTGCTCGAATTGTACTAGTTTATTTCGTACATGCATATAATACGCTCGATATATTCTAGCTAACGCTAATATTCCTGAAATATTTATAAAAGGTTCCTAAAATCCCTCAAAAACATTCTAAGAATATTCCGGAATATTCCGAAATATTTACGGAATGTATTATAAAAGCAACATTCAAATATCGATTAAAAATTTCATTTATACATATATCGTTACATATTCCGTGAATGTTCCATAAATATTCCGCAAAATTTTAATTTTTCCAGAAATTTCAGATTCAGTCGTCCCTGAATCAATTTTTAAACAAAATTTTGCTTTGAAAAACATACTCCACACTTTCATCTTGGAATCCAATTTTGGGATTTACTTTACAGGCGAAATACTGCGCTTCTTATATTCTTTTCCAAATTTTTATTATTAATGAGTAAGTGCTGTCCACGGAGTCGGAGAATATGTACTGCTCGCTTGCTCGCGATTTTCGTAATATGTAGGTACAAGGAGTATTCATACAATATTCTGAACATTTCATCGACATTTATATATTCTGTGACAATTCTTTCCCTCTGCCGGAATATTCGGACATTACATTGGGAATACGAATCGAACTTTCTATGAATAGCGTTAGCTAGGTTTGATTTATGAGCGGAAATATGATTTTACCTTAATATTTTAACACCGAGATTCAAAAGATTGGATAATTTAAACGAGATACAAAACATAGTAATTATTTAATAAGGAATCTCTCGACGACTTTTTTTCACTTCTCTCATACTTAAAAATATTTTGCAATTGTTCAAAGTACGTTACTATTCCTTTATGCAATAACATGATAAATGATTGGCAGAAGAGATATTTCTATGTAGATTTACAAAGAAGAGTTTGCAAGTCCTTGTTTCTAACTCTGTCACCTGATGGCACTTTGAACATATCAATAGATCAGCTGAAAATGGAAATATATTTTTTATGCATGTGTCAATCGTATGTTAGGAGGTCGAAACAGCCCTGCGAAGTCTAATTCAGAATTGTGAAAAGTGTGAACCTATATATTAAACGAAAGTTTTAATATAGCCTTGGTCATAAGTATAAGATACCTAAATTGATATAAACGTCCTTTATTAAACAAAAAATGAAAAAATAGTTTTATTGAAAAATATTTATATTTTTATGACAATTTATATTTTGTTAATTTATATACAATACAGTTTTTGTATAATTTATATTTTATTAATATTGTTAGTTTTTTTGTGACTTTTATTTATTGCTCTTTTCAAGAGGATGCTTTATACATACTCATGGCCAAGTCTATAATACCACGACAGTGTCGCTGCGCTTGGCCGAGCCACTATCGTGTTTTTAGATTTGTAGAATCCTATATTTAATATTTTTCCAAATATTCTTCTTCCTTCCGTCAATATCTGATTAATTAGTATATTAGTACTTGACGAAGATTTTAGTATTCAAGATAAGGCGTAAGTCACTTCTTCAGTAAGCTTCTTCTCATGATATTTCTTCTTACTATTTTTATAACGTTTCTCAAATCACACGAATCGCAATTTAAGCTCTCGATGACATCACCGACCGACGCATCTGATTATTCCTAATAACATGAATATACTAAGTATTTTAGAAACTTTATGCATCCAATATAACCTGTAACACATCGATACCATCGATTTATTCCTCACAGTATGTTGTGAGCCTGAATAGAAATTGATAAGGTATGAAAGTGAACTTACCTCAATAATCGATTTTTGGCGTTACTTAACGTGTCTAGGTTGTCTTTCAAAATATACTTTCGTATTCCTAATATGTATTGATGTAAGTACATGTCCCAATCTACGTTTCTAATATCCACGTCAAAGTTGCTACACTCTTCAGATGTTTTTACAAAGATGAAATTTCCACTCGTTCGTCGCGAAGAATTCTCCGGTTTTAGCGGCACGTTGAAATCGTTTTGTGATTTTCATCATTCTGAAAGGAAACAGCACATTTATTGTTATTTAATCAAATTTCCACATGATTAAGAGAAGATATACTTACATAGGTTTATAACCTTGGACCCTTAATATCAGATCTACGATGAATGCAGGTAAAAAGTGCAATGTGGCCACTATGATAGTGTGAATAAATTTGTTTGTCCTAAATGTGACATCCGGATACCACATCACGTATTTCGATGGTGATTCTATAGCGTGTTTTATGGCGAGATATCCAAATTCGCCCCATCTATAAAAATCAATATATATATATACACATATAACAAGAAAGTAATAGCGAATTCGATTGGACATACTTATGTGTACTAATGCACATTAAAGCCGTCGTACACCGATTTAATCTGTGTAAAATGCTAATATTTCAATTAAAAATACAAATTTTACTTAACAGCACAATAAAATGTATTGAGGATTTCATAGTTTAATCTGTTTTTCTATTTACATTAAATACACATTTTTACGTCAGTAAAAACAGTTTGTATATGGCGACTTTAATGTGCGCACCGAGTGCATCGAATCGAATTCACATACTAAATATAATAGTGTCCTAATAAAATTATACACTATTCAACAAAAAATACAGTAATAACGAAGGTTCTTGCAGTGTTTTTGAAAGCTGATGCTGGTGAAAATTTTTCTTACAATCCTTCAAATAATTTTTTAGAATTTTTATTAATTCTTAGAAAATTTCTCTTTTTTTATACTAACTTGGATATTAATTAAACAAATAACATTTTATTAAAATAAGAACATTATTACGTATAATATGCTTAGGAGACTCGGCAGCAAAATGCTATATTATTGTTTAACTTTGCATAACTCGAAATGCATACAGTTAAATAAAATGTCAAATAATAAATGACATATTCAAGTATGTATATATGCATAATTTCACGTGATAATATGCTTAAGTTTAAGTTTAAGAAGAATAAGGAAATATGTAATAAAATGCTAAAGTGTATCTTAAAAATTAACGTTTCGAAATGCTTGAAAGCGTTTAAAAATTAAAAATGCATCATAATAAATAAGTATATATTGTGTATTGGCATATTAACGTCATGATATAACAGCGAGCCACTGAATAAATAATTTATCACTATAATTCGTCACTTAATAGCAGAGATATTAAAAGGTGCTATGGTATTTATATTGGACATAATTTTAGCTTTTTCTCTATTTAATTTCAACTTTCTAATCGTCATTTCTGCGCGCATGCACGAGCATTCGTTTAATTATTTTACTATACTATTGTTGCTTTTCATACTATGTTTATTGCTGTATACTCACGTAATCGGATGAACTGCGCTGCTGATACAATTGTAAATCCTTATTGTATCAGTATGTTGCGCAAAATTATGCCAAGATGCGCAAATCAACGCATTGACAACAAAATCGACAGGTACAACGTCTACCACTAAATTTGCGTTACACATAATACTTCTAACAGTACCTCTACTAATCTCTGTCAATATACCTATTAAATAATAAAACATAACACATGTATGCTAAAAAATATGCTATAGTTCGTGTTCTTTATCAGTTTAAAATTATTCAATTAGGTATAACTAATTTCTTAATCTCATTTCTTAATCTCAAAAAGAAATATATATTAATATAAAAAAATATTTACTTGTAATTATATATATATATCCTTAATAACTTTGACTTTGATATATGTTGTCATGACCTTGAATGACCTTGAAGAAATTTTAATCATCGGATTACTCGTTAAAAACTTATTAATGAAAATAATTTTGAAAAATATACTACTTATACTCTTAGCTAGATCTTACTTCATGAAAGTTATTATGTAAATAGGAGAAAAGATATGGGATAGTTCTTAATATTGTATGTGCAGAAATAAGACGTTATTTTTTAAACTTTTTTGTCAATAACTTTTTAACGAGTAACGACCGATAATTAAAACTTCTTTAAAGTCACTCAGGATCATGATCTTGACAACATATATCAAAGTCAAAGTCATTGGGGGAGGGTCCTCATTTTTATTTTTACCATTAAAAAGTTTATGATCGACTTAATTCCTAAAATTAAACATAGTTTTGGTATCTGATTTCCAAATGAAGATTTGAGCTTACAATTAGTTAACTATCGTACCTGTAATACCGCAAGTATTATCTATCCATCCTGGAAATGGTTCTTGATACGCGGCACAGACTATACTTGGTCGTACAATAGCGATTGGTAAACCGCTTCCTTTAGACACTATGATCTGCTCCGCCAAACCTTTCGTCAACGTATACGTATTCGGATGTTTGCCGATTAATTTCTTCTCTATTATTTTTAATGTTTCATTGTCCAAATTTTCGCACATATCGATCACCGTGTGCGGCTTCATCTCCGTGCTGTAATATTAGCCACATATTATCAAGCACACTTTAGAAATTTAAACGATCCGTAATTCGCATCAGAATTAAAGACAAAATTTTATTTTTAATACTGTATACCGTATATGTATACCGTATATGAAAAAAAAAGATATATTAACAACATTTGTTAACAGCTGTAGTCTAATTAAAAATAATCTTATTGATGAGAGTACGATAAAATGAATAAAAGCGTACGTGCGATTATAACTTATTAAGAGGAAAGAAACAGAGATATGAATATGACGAAAATTATAATTAATGGCCTAGTTTCCACCGAGGGTTTAATCCGGATCAGAATGTAAGAACCAACCAATTACAGTCAAGCATTCAGTCGTTCGACTGTAACAGGGGAATATTCGACTGTAGTTGGTTGGTTCTTACATTCTGATCCGGATTAAATCCTCGATGGAAACTAGGCCAATGATACAAGGGAAGAAAGATTAAACCCTTATTAATTTAACAATTAATGAAATAAACGTATACTCTTGTTTTAATAAAATATTTATTTTTATTTATTTGTTATTTGTTTCTGTTATTCATTAATATTGTTCTTAAATTAAGAAGATTATATTGTTACTGGCTGTTAATAATGTTGTTAATAAAACATTTTTTATCACGTCTTAATGTACTGAGAAGAAAGGTGTTAGTTTGATTAATTAGGTTAATTTATCTATATTTTTTTGGTTGAAGAATGTATTTAAATAAAATGTATTATAATTTTACTCAAATACGTATATTTTTCAATGAAAGAAAAAATAAACTGAACTAATTTAGTCAAGTGAACTTTTTTTAGTATATTTATACAGGATGTTTGGTAAATATACCGTAATAACGGGAATAGATTCCTGAGATGATCATTTTGAGATGAAAATTACTAATCTAATACCGAAATATTAAGACTTTAATTTTTTAATTACAAGCACTTTAAAGTTATTGAATCATATCCGCTAAAGTTTACGCGTTCAGATGTGATACAACGAAAGATCCAACCGCACCTAAACGCGCGAACTTTAGGTAATATGATTCATATAAAATTATGAGTGGAATTGTTACGATTATTATCGACAATCGTAAATTATCATAGATTACAGATAATTTGAAGCGAATTTAAGAGCGTTTTTAAATGCATCGAAAAACAATCTGACAATGAGTCGCATAAAATACAATTTACATTGTGTATATAATGAAAAATATTCGCAATGTGAATATTGTATTGTAACATAATTGCGAACAAGAAATAGCTGTCTTACTGAATATATACACTTATAACTTAGTCATTAAGTTCCTTTTTCGTTCGATCTGCTTATCGGACACTATGTTCTTGAAGAAAAACGATTCACTCGTATCTACGACCTGCACATTTCTATTTCTGTTACTTTAACGTAAGTGTTTGTCAATATTAACATGATCAATTTTACCCTCTTTTACGTATGAAAAACATATGGGTAATTAAACATATTATCAACCGCAAGCCTAATAAGCTTTTTACCAGTACTTACCAAACGTTTATCGATTAAAAGTCTATTAATTAACAATAATTTTTTATTGTTCTTTATCATTTTGTTATTTATTTATCAGAATATGTACTATCTACATCTCTTAGAGTGGAAATTGAGTTAGTCTTAAAAAAGGAATAAAACTCTTTCACTGTTAAACAAGAATGGCAGACTCACTTTTTTGGAATGAGATTCACTCCAAAGGAATAAAATCTCATTGCTTTTTTTTAAAGTGAAACTTTATTCCTTGAAGTGATTTTTACTTCAAAAGAGTGAAATTTTTCTTAGGTCCGTATTCACGATCCTCATTTCAGGCGAGCTCGGTTTGAACCGATTAGATTTATTAAATCGTGGTTTGAGAAGCGTTTTTCAAATGAAAGACTGATTCAAACCTAGCTCGAATTGGATCTCAGGTTGAATCACGACTATGAATACGATCCTAAAAGAGTGAAAATCTGCCACTCATTGTTTAAAAGTGAAAATATTTTCAATCTTTTTTCAAAACTGAATCACTCAATTTTCAGTCTTTTGGAGTGAGATTTCACTCGAAAAGATTTAGAGATAAGTAGCAGGATTGGGAAATAACGCTTTACCGTTACGATTATTTTTTTTCAACAAATAGATAAAGACGTTATATTTCTTTATTATTTGTAATATTAATAGTAACATATTTTGGATAACGATAACGAATATAATCTTTATTTTTATCGTTATTTTGTATACATATAATACATGTATAAGTGAACTTTTTGATCATGTTGTGGTCAACCATAATCATCGTAGATCTCATTTTGTTGAACTATTCAATTAGCAAACATCTGCAAGTATCGATAACGAGTTACTTTTAGAAAACAAAACGATAACAGCAACAAGTTATTTTTGTGAAAATACTTCCTCAACTCTAATATATATATATATATACTGATTACCCGATTTCGTTTGAAAAACAATAATATGTTATCAGTCGACAACGTATGTCATTTTGTATATAAGTATATTTTTTATCTGTGTTAAATAAAGTGTTGACAATATCGTGGAATAACAGATCTCTATGATAAAGTAGTCCTCAGTATAAAAATGTCCGAGTTCTATATTATTCATATAGCTATCACATGTATGTAACTTACATGTATATCGATTCTTCAATCTCCAGTCGATCGGCATTACAGTAGGCCGTGCTGACGTGAATAACGCTAATAAGGTTTGTCATGCGCTTGCACAAATCCAGCATACGATCTGTACCCACCAAGTTCAAATTAACGGCGATTTTCAGCGGCTCATCAAAACGCACGGTGGCTGCACTATGAAACACGATGTTAACTCTCTGTATCAGCATATCCCTGTCTTCGGGCTGGAGCCCTAGCTCTGACAGACCCACGTCACCTTTTATGGGAAAGATCTTGTTCAAGGTACCCGGAAATTCCGATCGTATTCTGTCAAAAACCTGTCAGAGAAAGAAGTACTTTTCGCGTATCGTTTCATATCATCGTTTAAAAGCGTGCGAAGAGTGCGCGGAAAAATACCAAATACAATATTATATATACATATACAGGATGGCTACTAAATAATTTAACAGATTTTTAAGGAGTGATTCCTTATACATATAAATTCAAGATAAAAACTTCATATGATCGTATGTTCGAAACAGCTTATTGTCAGTTTCAAAGATATAGATGTCAAAGATGAAGGAAAAATTTGGTTTTTTTCTTTTAATTTTAAAGACCATTCAGGTTATTTTTAATAAAACTTTGTATCTATATGTTTAAAGTTTTATTAAAATAACTCGAGTGGTTTTTTAAATTTTTTGGAAGAAACAAAATCTTTTCTCATAAAAATATATGTATATATACAAAAATTTTTTATGGGGTATTTTTTAATTATTTTATCGACAGTACTCAATCAGCTGAACGTCTTTGCTTTTAGACTATTTCTTCAAAAACTCAACTATTTTCGAAATATAAGAAACTAAAAGAAGTCAGATTATAAGTTTAAAATACAATTTTTTTATTATTGTCATAAATGTTTAAAATCATGTTGACTAAACATGCCTGTAATCTTCGTGAAAAGCTAGCTTTGACTTTTTCTATCTCTTGAATCGTTATTTCGCGAAAAATATTTTTTCTTTCTATCATGTTTTCCAGAGTGGTAGGATTTTGAAAGTAAGCCAATTCTTTCACTTTTTACTTTTATTTTGAATATTTTGTACATTTATTATAATAATAAAAAATTTTTTTCAAACTTATAATCTGACTTCTTTTGGTTTATATTCCAAAAATAGTTGAGTTTTCAAAGAAATAATCTAAAATTCTAAAACAAAGATGTTCAGCTGATTGAGTACTATCGATAGAAAGATTAAAAAGTAAATTAAAAAAATTTATTCATTGATAAGTAAAGAAATAAGAATATTTAAGATTACTCAAGGTCATTAAAGTATTATATGTTTTCTTATTTCCTACAATTTTGGTATTACAGCTTAATCAGCATACAATGTTAAAAACATTTTTTTTTAAATATTTAATGTAAAAGTATTAAATAAATATTGAAAAAAAAATTTTGTTTTAATATTGTGTGTTGATTGTCTTCCTCTTATCTCTAACCGTTTAAAAAAAAATGTGGTGAATCTTTATCAAATTCACCTTGGTGTGTGTGTGTGTGTGTGTGTGTGTGTGTGTGGGTGTGTGGGTGTGTGTGTATGCATATGTATAGAATATATATACAACATATATTTATATAATATATGTATAGTATATACTCATCACATCAGACTCTATATTATATATTTATAATTATTATATATATAAATTAATTTATATATTTATATATAAACATAGACATATATCGAATGCAATGATGGTTTGTGTAATTAATATAGTTTTAGATGATCGTGAGAACGGCGACAATCGCGACCTTTTGTCGTACTTTTCGATGACAACTTGACACTTTAGACATAAGCACGCTGCAGATAAAATATTTAAGGCGTTCTACGCGAGGTTGTAAGGAATCGATATTGCATTAATTTAACAAGTGCGTAGGCTATTACGTCTATAAGAAATCTGGCACAAATGTGATAAAATGAAATTTACAGAAGATTTCTGACAAAAGTAAGCTTCTTTGTAGGAATTTTCGTGAAAATACTTCGCGAGTATGTTTCAGAATGTGTATATAACAGTATTATTGAAAAATCTAATTTTTGACGTAAAATAAATATTTTTTTAATTTTTCTGAGACTTAAGCTTTTAATAAGTTTTAAACTGAAGAAGAATTGAATAGAATATTATAACGTAGAATAAACATAAAAAATTTAATTTTAAATAATTTTAATTCTTATATAATTTTCAAATATATTGCAAATAACAATTTCTAATTTAATGCCTTTAAAACTCTAGCAATGCGCCTTTTGCAGATTGAAATTAGCTCAATTTCCGTGTAATTTATTTTTTTCGATACTTCTGACAAAGATAGACAAAAAAAATGTTTTCCTGTTTAGATTACAGACATAACTAATTTATGAACTAATTGTGAATTTTAAAGTAAGAGAGGATGTGATATGTAATCGCACTTGTTTTAAAAATGACACAACTTAAAAAAATTATTTTCAAATTATTATCATGAGTTAGGTATACATATATCTAAATATAAATGTTAGCTTATAAATATCAAAAGGAAACTAACTTATAGTCCGCCGACAGCTCAAAATAATTTAGTTTTTTTTTTAATAATTTAATGTGCGTTATAGGAGAATATTAAAATCGTCACAACTTAAAGAGGATAGTTTATTTTTGTGCGACGAAAATGACAAAAATAACATTTAATCATATTTTTAAAAGTACGGAGAGAATTATTTTTTAGAATTTACCCTGAAAATATTATAGTCGTGGGACAATATTGTATTTCGAAGAATTTTAATGCAAATCTTTCTCATTCATTAATAAAACTATAATAAAGTATAAAATAAGTTTGATTAATTTTATTGAAATGCATAGTAAAAATCTTTAAAATCTTTAAAATATTGTATTGTACCACAATTATTATATTTTCAGGGTAAATTTTAAAAGAAAATTCTGTCCGTGTATTACGTTCTTTTTCTCAATATTTAATTAATCAATGTAAGTTTCTATCAAATTGAAAAATAATTTTTTCACTTTGCTAAGCAACTTAATTTTTTGAATTGTATCACTTTTGAAACAATATGTATATATGTATATACGTATACGAACGGGATTGTTCAGTAGTTCCTTAAAACGTTGCTCAACAGATAGGTCTCTTTTTGGACGGATTAAAACGAAAATTGTGGCTATCCGGGGACACGAACGTAGCAGCTTTTCTAGAAGAGCTTTTCCTAAGAAGCCAGTAGCGCCGGTTAAAAGAATCACTGTCTCAGCGAAGAATGCGTCAATCGAACTTCCCCTCGAGTGATCCTCATCGTGTCCTGAATTGGTTTGTGCGTTCGTCGTACCCATTTTTGATGTTTGTTTTAAACTCTACAACAGTGAAAACATATTAGACAATAAATTAACAAAGCGGTTCATTGCTATAATCTTTTAAAAATAGATATGAATATGATCTTTTCTCAAATAAAATTTATTGTTAGATTAAATAAGATGTCTGAGATAGAGGAGATTGTATAATGTATGTTTTAGGAGGACATTTAAATATTAATTTTCAAAATTTTTTAAAACTATTATTTTTTCAATTTTTAATTTTGTTCACTAATATGAATATTTATTTAAATGAAAAAATTTACAGCTTTTTATAAAGTAATGTTTTAATTCATTATTTTGAATGATTTTTTTTTGTTGCTTATGTATAAAGAGTGCAAAGGTACATACACTTAGGGGCGGTAAATATTGTACTTGGAAACATAAAATAAGTCGCAAAGAAGTAGTGTTATTATGATCGTTTTCTAAGCCTCCGTCAAATTAGATCATGTTAGACTATATAAATGACATTAGAAATGGCCGTAACGACACTATACTCATATAAATAAAGAAATTATTTTAATATTATGAAAATGTACAATAATCAGGGGAGACTGGGGACAGTTGCACGGAGGTAAGTTGTAATAATGCATATAATGCATATAATGTAATAATGCATATCTTTTAAATGACAAAAGATAAGATGATCATATGAAGAACAAAAATAATCGGTATCGAGGCCTGCATTTGCCATCAATTGCGTGTGCGCAACATGTAAAAGAAGTTATATGTACTGTGCTCAAATAAACGTAGGTGTAAATTTATGATTTTACTTTTTTTGCTTTAAACTTTCAAATAAAATGTTTTTTATCATATTTTATTAATTCTAAAATATTTTCTCAAGCTATGTGCATATTTTTTTTTAATATTTTTAAGTGGTTTCAAATAAATTCATATAAATTTTAACAACATCGGTTTGGGATTAAAAGTACCATATCGCTAGAGTACATTGTAACACCATTATAATTAACAATAAATAGAAGTTAAAAAGTTAAAAATCTCGCTCACCTCAAATTTTGATAAAAATACACTATATTGATGTTTTCGCGTAAAAATAAAAATTTGACAAGAAAAAAGTGTCCCTCTACTTTATGAATCAAAATATTTTAGTTGAAAATTGATGACTATTCAGATTTGGAAATCTGTTATAGCCACGAAATACTGCGATGCAAGCACGCGCTGAAATTATTTTCATGCTTTAGGGCCACGTACGAATATGTTGTGAGTATTTCTTATTGTAATAGATATTATTCACTGTTTTACAAACACAAATTCATTGCTTAAAAACAGATTATCTGTTCTGAAACACAAATTTTTACTTTAAAAACACAAATTTACTATTTTGAAACACATTCTCTCTACTCTAAAACACAAATTCACTGCTTTTTAGTAACAGATTTACTGTTTTAAAAACAAAAATAATATAAGAAAATAATTTCTGTTTTAAAACAGATAATTTATTTTTAAAGCACTCAATTTGTATTTTTAAAGCAGTGAATTTGTGTTTTAGAACAGATAATTTGTTTTTAAAACATGTTACAGTTTTCTCTGTTTCATTTTGCTCGGAGCAAGATGTATTATACTAATTCGGATTTTGATATTTTATATCAAATTTTATATTTTTATTTTATATTTTTATTCATAAACAGTTTAAAATTGCACATTTTTGCAAATAGTACTATAAATCTAAATAGTTGTTGTGTCATGTACATTAAAAGAAATAAAAACGTTATAAACATTGGTACAACTATCCTCAGTCTTCCCTATTACAAAAAATAGTTTTAATTTAAACAATAAATCGCTAAGAAAAATAAAGATTTAAACATTTACTATAGAAATCAAAGCTTTAAACAGTTTAGCTGAATCTTAAATGCTTGTATGATTCTTGTGTGAATTTATATACTACGTATGTAGTCTCCAGAAACGTACGCCGAAATGATTTGACGAAATGATGATGACTCCCGGAGATAATATTTTTCGCAATAAGAATTAATTATTTACAGATTTTATAATATGTTATTCAACATTATTAAGATCGTTTCGAAAATGCGAATAAGTATCAAATATTTGTTAAAATGCTCAATTTAACTCGTGATATTACTGCGGTAGTTTAGTAGAATTAGCAAAGATTGAAAAATCATTTCGGCGCGCGTTTCTAGGGACTACATATGTAGTATATAAATTCACACAAGAATCATACAAGCATTTAAGATTCAGTTAAACCGTTTAAGGCTTTGATTTCTATAGTTTATGTTATCACATATATGGTCCTATAATATATTATATTATTTAAACAATCAATGTAATATAAAATAGATACTTAATAAAAATATAAAGAGAGGGATTTATACGAGGGATTAGATGGGAATCTGAGCGTCTAAAATGGTTACAATTTTCACAGAATCTTGCAAAACATGTACGATTGTAGTATCAGAATGGTTTTGATGAGTAATGCCATCTTCATATTGCTCAAAATTTTTCAAACGACCTTTGTATGTTTTACTATTTCTAATAATAATCTTTTATTAAGACTATTTTATATTTTTAGTACGAAGATAAAAATAAAAGAAATAACTTCCTAAAATTTTGATCTTAATACATGATATCAAGAGCATGACTTTGAAAAAACTTTAAAAGGTTTTAACCTTCAATTGAACACTTTAGATCATAACGCTAATGCTGGCGATACTGTAACTTTCAAGCTACCACTTGTCACAAAAAAGTATTTAATGAAAAATATGTTATAGTGTTTTGAAAAGTTCTCAAGATAAGCTACAAAAATATGCAATAAAAAATGGCGGTTTTCATTTAAAAAAAATCAATGTGACCTTGATCTGTCCTTGACAACGCTCACTAAAGCCAAACTGATAAGATCAATAAATAGATTTTTAAATTCTATAATTTTTATCTAAAGCATTTTTTTTATAAAACATATTTTTCGAGACATTCAGGAGTGTCGGTATTTTATATACACCCTGTATATATACATTTGTTATGTCCGTACAATTAATATAAATGTATTTTATTATTAAGTTGAAACTGCAAACACGTTCCTCCTGTTTTTATAAATAGACTTGTCCATTAAAATATTTATATTTAATAATTATACAAGCTCTTTGTTAACATTAATTGAATTAATTTATTGTTATATTAATTTATTATTACATTATTTAGCCTTCAGAACCTGCGTCTTTACTTATTTCTATTCACATTTGTTAAAGTTCGCACAAATTTCAATTTTTGTTCCTCAAATGTGGTATGTGAAATTCCACTTGCCAGATATTTGGCTAATAAAATTTGGCTAATAAAACATATGTTCTATACAGAAGTCTCTCCCATGGCAGATTTCTCTGAACAGACATTTTCGAAACTAAAAGATAAGTAGAATTAGAATTTTCAGACTTTCGTGTATTTCGTTATTTATGTGCATTCCAAATGAGAGACATAATATTTAAAAAAATGAGCAAAATTATAATTTATGTGACACTTCTTGTGCACGTGTAAGTATTCATACATTAATTATGGTGTTCATATCCTTGACCCGAGATATCGTAACTTCCACCGCATGTCTCGAATCGATATAGTGGTGACGGTCATCAACCGACGTTGGAAAAAGCTTTTTATTAATATTTTACGCGCGAATATAGTTCGTTGCTGTAGCTATGCGAAATGTTATGTGTGTTACTTACCTACTTTGTTCGATATGACGTCACTTTACAAATCGTGGCTGGATATTAGTAATAAGAATAATGTTAAAAGAAATCTGCAATGATTATAATAGAAATCGTACAATTTATTTAAATTATTCCATCTGCGATGTAACATGGTTAACGATTGGAATGATTTGTGAAGATTTTGTTTTGACATAGCTTGCAAAGAGATTATTACAATTTCTTGCAAGTCTCTGATGTCTCTGATAAACCTTTCTTTTTACGACTTTTAATTTCAGAAATAATTTCAGAAATAACACAATGTTAAATCGGGAGAATGACTCTTAGGAAAAGAATAATAAATAATGCCAATGTGAATTAACACAGGTTGTTCATGTGTAGTAACGCATATATTAAATATAATAGATACAGATTTCAATCCTTGGTATTGAAGTTCCAAATCCTTGGTATCTTCAATGTAAGATTTAATCGTTAGAAAAAAATCCGTGTATATTGTAGAGTACAAGGAGAGAAGTTAAAAAGTTGAATCATCTAAAACTATTGTTAAACTATTGTCCAAAATAAAATTCTTCAATATTGTCTTTTGTATTTTGCTGAATATTCAAACCATAGACATAAATGTTAGAAATTTAACTAAAATAACGAGTCAAAATGTGTAAAGTAAACTTGGTCAAACAAAAATAAAATATATGTAAGTTAAAAATCACTAAAAATTTAAATTTAAATTTACGATGATCCGTCAGATTACAAAATAAAATTAAGATGTATTTAGAATATGAATATATAATTTGAAACAAAAAAACATTAATCCTTCGCGATCAAATCATAATACAAGGGGTCTAACAAATCAGTATCATTTTGTATCAATCCATTTTTTATTTTTTAATAAAAATCGCCTCTGAGATTAATCTTTTATTAAAGTTTCCCTTCTCGAGAATCAATGACTCTTATCTCAAATATTTTTATAGTATATTTGAAATTTTTCACAAATAGGGGCGTATCTTTATGTGTATATATATATATATATATTGTATAGATTATCAATATCACTATTAGAAAAATTTTAGAATAAAATACATATATAGAAGGAAATACCTAAGAGAAAAGTTAAATAAGTAATAAGTAATAAATACATTTTAATAAATAAAATGCCTTTGCGAGTCACTGATGATTGAAGAGAAATAATATAAACTAAATTTCTCAAAATAACAAAATAATAACCGATTTGAGGCTAATAAGAGTCAGCGCCGAAGGGGGTGCGCAATATTAATGTGAAATGATGATTTAACTTCAATTTTTTCGTGATATCTTCTTTATTCAAAATATTGAACG